GTGGATCACGAGGTCAAGAGATCGAGACCAACCTGGTCAACATGGTGAAATCCTGTCTCTACTAAAAATAAAAAAAATTAGCTGGGCACGGTGGCACGTGCCTATAATCCCAGCTACTCAGAAGGCTGAGGCAGAAGAATTGCCTGAACCTAGGAGGCGGAGGTTGCGGTGAGCCGAGATTGCGCCATTGCACTCCAGCCTGGGTAACAGGAGAAAAACTCCATCTCAAAAAAAAAAAAAAAAAAAAAAAAAAGAGGTGTCCCTTCCTGAAGTGCGCAGGGGGCCGGATAAATGGCCTCAGGGGGCCACACGCGGCCCATGGGCCGTAGTTTGGGGATGCCTGCTTTAAATTGTGGGTTTATGTTAAACATACTTTCATACATAGGACATATTTTGCAACTTAAAAAAAGGATATAAATGGGGTTGACAAATGAGAATTTGGAGGCTGTAACCCAGACTTTTCCATTTACTGACTGTGTAACCTTAAGTCATTTAACCTCTCAGAGCATAATTTTTCTTTTTATTTGATTAATGAGGAAGCTAACAGCTAACATCTGTTTAGGACTTTGCCTGGCATTTAAAGAACTGTTCAAAGTTCCTAGACTGTAAACATCCAAATATGCATAAGATCATAATACAAAGTAATACCTTATTAATAAATACCATAAAACTAAGAACTCATCAGCCAGGCACACAAGGCTATTCAACATTCTAGCCTCTGCCTATCTTTCTAACAATAATGGCAACAACTAATATTTTTTTAATGTGTACTACATAACATATGGTGTTAAACGCTTCCCATTATCTTATTTAACCCTCAAAACAATCCTATGATATTAATTCTATTATCCCCACTTACAGATGAGCCCATTGTGCCCAACGTCATACAGCAGTAGTAAGTAGTAGTAAGACAGACTTCAAAACCCATACTTAACCATAGCACTTAACCACAGCATTTTGCCTCACTTTTCTCACTATATTTAAATTGTCCATCTTTCCCATGACACTGAAAGCTCCTTGACAACTGCTTTCTGTTCACTTTCATTTTCCCCTGGCACTTAGCAGATATTCATTAAATAAATAGTGAATAGATATTTCATATATATACAGTGTCTTCAGTACATGAACTGGTTTGCTCCCCTTGACAGCATTCTGAAGTATGAAAGTTTGATTTTGAGAAAGGGTCTCACTCTGTAACCCAGACTGTAGTAAAGAGAAGCAAGATCATGGCTCACTGCACCCTTGACCTCCCTAGCTCAAGCAATCCTCCCACCTCCCTCCTGAGTATCTGGGACTAAAGGTATATGCTATCACGCCAGCTAATTTTTTTTATTTTTTGTAGAGAGAGGGTCTCCATATGTTGCCCTGACTGTTCTCAAACTCCTAGGCTCAAGCAATTCTCCTGGCTCAGCCTCCCAAAGTCTGCGATTATGGGTGTGAGCCACTGTGCCTGGCTAGTTTTTTTGGTTTTTGAGGTTTGTGTATGTGTGTATTTTTACCTTTTTAACCAAATTGAAGTGTACAATTCAGCGGTATTAAGCATGTTCACAATGTTGTGCAACCATTACCACCAGATATAAAAGGTTTGTTTTTTGGTTTTTTTTTTTTTTTTTTTTTTTTGAAACAGTTTTGCTCTTGTTGCCCAGGCTGGAGTGCAATGGCACGATCTTGGCTCACTGCAACCTCCACCTCCCAGGTTCTAGCAATTCTCCTGCCTCAGCTTCCCAAGCAGCTGGGATTACAGATGCCCACCACCATGACTGGCTAATTTTTGTATTCTTAGTAGAGACAGGGTTTCATCATGTTGGCCATGCTGGTCTCAAACTCCTGATCTCAAGCGATCTGCCCGCCTCGGCCTCCCAAAGTGCTGGGACTTACAGGCATGAGCCACCTCACCGGGCCATATGAAATGCTTTAAATGACTTAGCTGTAATCACTCAGCTTTCAAGTAGTAGAACTGAGATTTGAATCTGGGACTCTTGACTCCTAAACTCACGGGCTATTCATTCCACCAAGGCTTCTGTCTACCAATACCTCCATCTGCTCTCTTCTCACCAGGGTATCTGAAGGATCAAATGAGGTAAAGATACAAAAACATTACTACTGCATAGGTGACCACACTGTGGAAAAAAAAATCCATGAGCACATTTCTCCCAGGCAATTACTTTTCGTTTTGAGCTTTCAAAAGCTAGAGCTTTAATATAAACATCTCACCTCTAGACCAAGCCTGCAAATCTGCAAAAACAATGTCTAGACCCCAGAGTAAAGTTAGAGAGAAATGCTTGCATTAGATTACAGTCTCATTGAATTACAGGTAACTGCTCAAACCTGATTTTTATTGTAATACAGAAAGCTTCCTTATTACAAAACACTTTCAATTCAAAGGTTAAGTCCAACTTTCCACCATTCTGCCCATTTTGGAGCTTAAAAAAAAGTATTCTAAATGGATATTTTTATGTGCTCAATTGTGAAAGCCAAGGAAAACGGTTTGTGAGCTAAACTCTGAAGCTTGAACAAAAACAAAAAGAATTATTTTGATCCCAACGGTGCCAATTTTGTCTTCTTTACATCCCTCCTCATTTTTTTTCAGTCTAAGCTTTAATCAACAGCCACTTTATGTTTAACATATCATCACAATTAATGCAATTAGGTCCAGAAAACTGTTTCTCTAAAGATGTTCCCTCCATTTACATTCCTCTGTACCTTCCATTATCACTGTTCTGCCATAAGAATGAGCATATCATTAAGGTTTAAATCGAATTTCTGATGAATAGATGGAGATACTGTTTCTCTAGTTAATACAATGCACCTACATCAACATCATTCCCTAAAAAAATAAAAATGACTCAATATGCTTTATTTATTCACATCTGACAGAATTCTGATCACCTGAATTCCTTTGGAAGAAAATTCAATCTTTAGAAATACAATCCAATTATTTTTAAATCTTATCAATGCCAAAAAACAATCATATGAAAAACTCCAGCAGTACCAAACCATCTCACCAATGAATATTTATGACATTTCCATATTTCCTGTCTTCTCTGTTTACATAAAGCAGTGGTGCCAAGACTCATCTCAGGATTATTAGCCTGCAATACAATGATGGGCCTAATTGCCTTGCAAACCAGGACACTAAAAAATGGCATCTTCAAGCAATCAGTTCAACCCCCTAATTTTAAGAGGGGGTAAAAAAGGCCCAAGCTCTTTTTGCCTATGTGCACGTTGACTACCTACAAAACAAATTCAGCCACATATTTTTCAGGCTCACTCATTAGTTCTCGAGCAAGGAATGAACCCTTAACAATCTCAAGCTCACCAAATCTATTTAAATTTCAAATTCCAGGTATAGTTTTTAAACACACCGGGAGGAGAGGGGAAAGGAGAAGGCAGAGACATCAAACAGAAAGATACCTATTACATTCCAGTTTATATTCTCCCCACCTTTAGTTTGGAAGTATGCTTTTTTCCCCCAACTTTCTTTTTATGATCTACAAATAACAGAAGACACCCTCCCCTCCTTAATTCTACCTTAATTAAAGTCCCTTTCAACTTTACCCTTTGGGCTGACTTGACTTCCAAATTATACTAATATAAATAAAACAAAAAGATCAAATGAACAGCTTAAAATGGCCCCTAAGAATGAGAAGGTCTCTTCTGTCTCTGCTGCAAAGTCCCCTCTAACAGCCTTACTGCCTCTCCCCCAACCACAGCCACCAAAGCTGTCCATTTAAGTATTCCAACCCTTAACCCTCACGTGTCTCCTGGAGGTCATCCCAATCCTTCACATCCAAAATATCCAACCCACTTCCCCCTCCCCACCACAGCTCACTGTCCCTCTCCATCCTCTCTGCCCCATCCATACCAGGTCTCCCACTCCTTAAATTTGCCCTGTGCCACTTCACCGTCAGCAACCATCTCTCCAGGCCTACCAGCTCATCTCTGAAAGTCCTTCTCCAAACTCCCTCTGCCACCTTGGCCAAGGAACATTTTCTTCAAGATACCATCCCCCAACTTTGCTCACCACCTGCCGCTATCCTTTCAATGAATGCAGCCCAGGGATGTTTTATGTGCCCTCTGCCTTGACCCTGCAACCAAGGATCCACCATGCCCTTTCCAGTGATTGAAAGATCCTAAATCCAACCCACTGTGCCCCTCATTCCATTTCCATCCCTGTTCTCCCATTTCAGACATGACTTCCAATTTGACCCCTTCTTGCCAGCTCACCATGACACTCCCCTCATTGAATGTCCCACCTCCACTAACTCCTATTCCAACCTCGATCAGCCCACCCCAGGAAACCCCCAAATTGCACTTCTCTGCTCTATCCTAACCCATGCTATTCTGTAAGTCTCCACAAATTCCACCAGCCCCAGATAACGAACACCCACTTCAAGCTCAGGTCGCAACACCTGCCAAGCCCCTCACCCCCAGCTCCTGTTACCTCCATCATCCTGCTCCAGATCCACCCCAATTCCATCCTCCTGAATTAACACTCCGCAGGGTCCTATCCAACCAGATGCAGGTCCTATCCTGTTATCTGCTACTCACTCTCCACTGAAATCATTCTCCTACCCCTCACCCCAGCTCAGATCCGAAGCTGTCAACTGCTCCAGGCCAACCCCAAATCACCACCCTCATTCAGTCCCCTCCCTCATTAGAAGCCATCCCACCCTAGTCTCATCTTCCGCCTCGCCCCAAGACCATCCCGAATTCCAATCCGACGCCCCCACCCCACTCTCCGGTCCCAGGTTGGATTATTCTCCATCAAAAGTCCTCCTCCCTCGTCGCCCGCCCCCCAACCTGCTTGGGTCCCACCCTCACCCCACCCCCAGCCAGCGTCTGGACAAGTCTCCCCCGCCAGCCCGCTGTTCCATCGCTACCTCAACCCCCTCCCCCCAACCTGCGCGGGGGCTCCGCAGCCCCCACTCTCATTCTCGCCAGCACAACCGGCCCAGGCTCAGGACGAGCGGATCGGGCGGCGGAGGGAGTCTCCTCACCGGCTAGCAGCTGCAGGCGAAAACGGCGGCGGTGGCTGCTGAGGCGGCGATGCCCTTGTCTTCTCCGAAGGCTTCGACGGCGACGCTCTCGCTCCCTCGCCCGTATCCAGTAGGGTGGAGGATGGCGCGCGGGGACCGAAGCCTCCTCCTCCTCAGCGACTCGGCTCTGAATCCTCTGCAGTAGCCGCCGAGGAGCCCGACGGGTTGGGGGGAAGGGACGCTCGGCTGCGGGCGAGGGAGGAGGAGGCGGAGGGAGGAGGCGGGGGACCGCTGAGAAGGGCGGGGAAGGAGGAGCCGGCGCGGCGCCGCAACACGTCCCACAGCCTCAGAGCGCCCGGACCACAACTCCCGGCATGCCCTGCTTTGGACTGAGCGCGGCCTGCGCCTCCCGCCTCGAACCCGGTACAGAGGGGCCGCGCCCTCTCCGGTCAAGGACAATGGAATAAAGCCAACCATCCGCTGGCAGATGTTGTAGGCTCAAAGACCACCTGTGAGGAAAGTCAGGTCGCCCGAGGCCCCATCCCCAAGGGGTAGTGCTCGCAGTGTCTCCATCTTCTTTGCATAGACACACACATTCCCTCTCTTCCGTCTCTCGCTCTCTCTCTCTCCTTCTCTCTCGACTACACCTCCCAGCATGCCTCTCAGCGTCCCACCCTCCTTCCGGACCCTTCTCAGACCCGGTACTACACTTCCCAGGGAGTGTGTTCCCTGCGAAATGCTGGGAGATGAAGTTCTTGGTTCTTCCTCCATATTAAGAAAAAGAAGAGAAAGAGAGGAAAAAGGGAAGGAATATGCCAGCCTACCGAGGATGGGCCTTGATGGGCTAGATCACCTATGATTCTGTTCATCCATCGCCATCTCCGTTGCAGCTGTCTCTCACCAGAACTAATGCCGGAGCTTCCTCGCGGGTCTCCCTGCAAATTTGAGGACAATTCGGCAACTTGAATCCAAACGTACAAAGGGCATACTTCTTGACCCAGCTTCATTACTTTTAAGATTTACCTTAAAAAGATAATCGAACAATTTCGAAAAGATTAATGCACAAAGTTGTTATATGAGGTAGTTAATTATGGGGGGGAGTAAATGTTCATCAGCAGGGTGCTGCTTAAATAAAGTGTTACATATACATACAGTGCAGTACTAAGGAGCCATTTAAAATGATGATATAGATCTATTTATTGACGTGAAAAGCTATTTACAATTTATTCTTGAGGGGAAAAAATTGATTACAGAACAGCATGTCTAGACAGGTTAAATTTATCTGAGGTTTGACACAATATTCTATAGACATGGAGAGATTTCAGAAAAGCGGTTCCCCAAAAATATTAGCAATTATTATCTTAAAGGAAAGGGTGTCAGATTGCACGTTATTATTATTATTATTATTATTATTTTGAGACGGAATCTTGCTCTGTCGCCAGGCTGGAGAGCAGTGGCACGATCTCGGCTCACTGCAACGTCTATCTCCAGTGTCCAAGCGATTCTCCTGCCTCAGCCTCTGGAGTAGCTGGGACTACAGGTGTGCACCACCACGCCCAGCTAATTTTTGTATTTTTGTTGAGATGGGGTTTCACCATGTTGGCCGCGATGTTCTCATCTCTTGACATTGTGATCCGCCCACCTCTGCCTCCCAAAGTCCTGGGATTATAGGCGTGAGCCACCGCCCCGGCTGTAATTTTTATTTTCGTATTGTTTCAATTGTTTAAAAGGAACACATAACTTTTTTTTTTTTTTTTTTTTTTTTTTTTTTGTAGAAGACGTCATCTCACTATATTGCCCAGGCTGGTCTCAAACTCCTGGCCTCAACTCCAGCCTTTGTTTATTGCCTAGACACTTTCCATGCTTCTCATTGCCTCATTCGTGCTTCAGCACTGTGTCTGCCTGGTTTGTGCCTGAGCTCAACAGTTCCATTATTAAAACAAATAATAGTGGTCACTTCCTACTCATAAAGTTGGAAGGGAGAATTTTCTCAATTTTCAATGTGTCTTCTCAAAATCTGTCCTTTTCTGGTCTTTCCACACCCATTTTCTCCTTTTCTCTTACTCATTCTTCAAACTGAAGCCAAAGTCCTACCTTTCCTAGAACATATTTTAGACACACTGATTTTCCTTATATCTGAATTCTTTTTTTTTTTTTTTTTTTTTTTTTTTTTTTTTTTTTTGAGATGGAGTTTCACTCTTGTTACCCAGGCTGGAGTGCAATGGTGCGATCTCGGCTCACCGCAACCTCCACCTCCTGGGTTCAGGCAATTCTCCTGCCTCAGCCTCCTGAGTAGCTGGGATTACAGGCATGCACCACCATGCCCAGGTAATGTTTTGTATATTTAGCAGAGACGGCGTTTCACCATGTTGACCAGGATGATCTCGATCTCTTGACCTTGTGATCCACCCACCTTGGCCTCCCAAAGTGCTGGGATTACAGGCTTGAGCCACGGCACCCGGCCCCTTATATCTGAATTCTTATAGCAGTGGTTTCTAATCTGTCAACCAGAGATCATGGTGGGGAAAGGGAGTGAAGAGAGAGGAACAGAGTCATTGTAAAGGGTCTATGAAACTCTGCTTACACAAAGCATGATCTGTAGCCTGAATATATGTCTTGCATTTAAGTTTTTTTGTTCTTCGGACACCTATGTCCCACTCTTCTAGAATACAGAATGTATTATCAGATTATTTTTGATTTAACAATGTTTTTTCTTTAAGCTCTGTTTAACTTGATGTTTTCTTTTCTTTTTTCATTTTTTGAGACAGAGTCCAGTGGCTCACACCTGTAATCTCAACACTTTGGGAGGACAAGGTGGGTGGATCACGAGGTCGGGAGTTCGAAACCAGCCTGACCAACATGGTGAAAACCTGTCTCTACTAAAAATACAAAAATTAGCCAGGCATGGTGATGTGCACTTATAATCCCAGATACTCAGGAGGCTGAGGCAGGAGAATCACTTGAACCTGAGAGACAGAGGTTGCACTGAGCCAAGATCACGTCACTGCACTACAACCTGGGCAACAGAACGAGCCTCCATCTCAAAAAAAAAAAAAAAAAAGAGAGAGAGAGAGAGACAGACTCTCACTCTGTTGCCCAGGCTAAAGTTCAGTGGCATGATCACAGCTCACTGCAGCAGTGACTCCTTGGTTACAGGTGATGCTCCCACCTCATCCTCCCAATTACCAGGGACTACAGGCACCACCATGCCTGGCTAATTTTTCTTTTTCTTTCTTTTTATTTTTTCTTATAGAGACAGGGTTTCATCATGTTGCCCAAGGTGGTCTCAAACTCCTGGGCTCAAGTGATCTTCTCACTTCAGCCTCCCAAAGTGCTGAGATTACAGGCATGAGCCACTGCATCCAACAGGACTTGATATTTTCAATTTTATATGCCATTTTTCTTGGTGTTCTGTAAGAAGCACCAGGACACTTTAGTTCTACTATAGGCCTATAGGAAAAATCCCAGGTTGCTTAGCTCAGAGGATGACTTAGTCCCCATCCTGCTGCAGCCTCTCTAGCTTCACCCCACCTCACTGTAGTCAGACTTCTGTCCCTCAGGACTCACTGTCCTCAAATACACCAGGCACTGTCTTTTCCAGACTGCCTATCTCCCTTTACATCCTATTTTCACAGCCTTAAAATCTCAGCTCCCCCCCCTCCACTTCTCCCTTTTCTGAGAATAATGAGAAAGATACCTATCATATGTTGGCTATGTGACAACCAAGTCCCTTTTTAGTGTTACACTGACCTTCCCCTCTTCTAAACCCCATCTGCACTTCTTCTCTTCCATTTCCCCACTTCTTTCTCCTAGTGGCAAAAAGTAGGGGCTGGGCAGTCAAAATTAGAGGGGTTCTGGTCTATCCAGCAAGTAAAGCATTATCTGAGTTAGGTGAATAAATAGATATGAGAAGCTTACTGGACTAGTAATCTGGGAATCAAATCCTAAATTAGACCTTGCCATGAATGTGATGGGTGACCTTTAGTAAGTCCCTTAACTTTTCAAAATCTCAGTGTCTGTAATACATCCACAAAATGGAAGGAATGGGTCCTGCCTGCCCTGCCACCTCATAAGGTTATTAGGAGAATCCAATAAAACAATGGGTATAAAAGTGCTTTGAAGACTGTAAAATGCCACTTACAGTCCAAGCCTTTCATCTCACCATTTGAGAATTCTCTCTCCAAATCCCTGCAAAATCATGGCATGTAAACTTTCAACTCTGAATTATATTCAACATTAATGAATTTATGAAAGTTTTAAAGAAATTAACTCGATTAAACCAATTTAATTTCTGGATAAATTTTTGATATAGCACAGTTAAGTGATTTATAACTTTTAAAGATATTTTCCTATACTGAATTTTTATCAAGGTATATTCTTTAGCAGCTCAGTACAGTGGTTCATGCCTATAATCCCAGCACTTTGGGAAGCCAAGACAGAAGGATCGCTTGAGGCCAGAAATTCAAGACCACCCTGGACAACATAGTGAGACCCCCATCTCTTCAAAAAATAGAAAAATTGGGCTTGGCATGGTGCCTCACGCCTATAATCCAAGCACTTTGGGAGGCCAAGACAAGCAGATCACTTGAGGTCAGGAGTTCGAAAACCAGCCTGGCCAACATGGTGAAACCCTGTCTCTACTAAAAATACAAAAAATTAGCCAAGTGTGGTGGCACACACCTGTAGTCCCAGCTACTCAGGAGGTGGAGGTACAAGAATCACTTGAACCTGGGTGTCAGAGGCTGCAGTGAGTAGAGATCATGCCACTGCACTCCAGCCTGGACAACAGAGCAAGACTTCATCTCAAAAACATAAATAAATAAAATAGAAAAACTGTCTGGGTGTGGTGGCATGCACCCTGTAAATTCTAGCTGAGCAGGAAGCAGAAGTGAGAGGATCATTTGAGTCCAAGATTTCAAGGCTGCATTAAGCCATGATTGTACCACAGCACTTAAGCCTAGGTGACAGAGCAAGTCTCTGTCTCTAAAAAAAATTTTTTAAAGATATATTCTATATGAATTTTACAAGAAAAAATTTGATTCATTAGTTTTATTTTATCAATTTGTACTGATTATTGGTCAGTTATAATGATATTTCTTTGTTAGTCATTGTTTCTACCAAGTCCACCTTGTCCTGACAGTAATTTGAACCATCATTGGATTTATCTTGTGTTGATTATTTCCAAGTAGAATTTTCCCAGGGGACAACTTTGCAGAGTGCAGTGTTACCAACAAAGATGGGATCATTCCATTTGCTTTTTATCCATAGTAAATTTCACTATGTGTAGCT